CCCTTTGTAACTAATAATGGGGAAGGCAACCTAATACACAGTACTTAACACCTAACCCAGTGTACCAGAGGATAGCTGAGGATGTGAATTACTAATTGTTAGGGAGACTGGGCTTAAAGCATCACCAGCAATAGAATAGTCAACATACTAGCCAAGTCAACGTTTAGACGGAGCCGAGTCAGAGAATAGCAGAAAGCAGGAGAGGCAAGACAAGTATGGTCAAAAATACCAAAAGATCACAAGGAACAAGCTATTAGATATTACAGAGACCATCACAGGGCACTACCAATCCCTTAATGAGCTATGTCTTCTATAGAGGGACTGATGGTGTCTGCGTCATTCGTGATCATTGCAAATCAAGCGATGCCACATGTGTCATTATTGTAATGCATAGACACTGCGTCATAAACTGATGCTGCGACAATTAATGCCAGAATGGAGCAAGATGGGGGAAAGCAAAGTGGGAGTGGGGGCACATCATGAAAATTGAGCAGAACTGGGCAGAGGAGGCAGGAGTGAGCAGATACGGTGACCCCTTCCTACATAACATTCCCATCAATTAATGCCTATACTGCTCAAACATTTCTCATATTTATCTGAAATGTTCCCACTGTAGGGCACAGTTAGATTGCTCATAAAATCATTCCCTATGCTTATATATTATGTGTGAAATGAAATGCTCCTTTATACAAAACTCAATTCAGGTCATTGGCACTTGGAAGATTTCATTAAAGCTTGAAGCTAAGTGTCACTTGCACGGTATATTGCAAACAGCGGATGGGTCTCCAGGCTCCCTTTTATCCTTCGTAATTGTTGATATTGTGAGGCTGTGGGGTTTCTCTACAAACAGAATCCTCTTGATGTGTTTCCTGCTGTACATGGATACAATATATATATTGGTTTTATGTTTCCCACTTTTTTTTTTTACAAATTGTTTTATATATTTTATATGTAGAGAGCAATTCTTTTATCTTTCAAATTGGTAAAATCTTTAATGATCGCTGTTTGCTCATCTCGGCTTGTGGGTTCTCACAATCTGTCATATCAGAGTTTTACGAGATATAAAATCTTTATTAAATTCTGGATGGATAAATGATAGGAGAGCTCTTACATGCTTACAATCCCCGAATCTTCCAGATGGTTACTGTAAATAACATTTATGAGTGTCAGAGTGCCTTATGAAGGGATAGATTCCATATTAGGGTATGGATCATTATGGAGGAGCCTTGCTTCCTAGGAGGCTGGTATTTTCGGTTACTAGGACACATAGGCTCCATAGAGATCCATTATCTAGCACCTAGAGTGGTCTATATAACACATGTACTCTACTGTTGGCTTAGATGTCATGGCGTCTGAATACGTTTCATAGTTACTAAGATTATTCTAACAGAACTATTCTATTCGGTATCTCTGCCCCAAGTGGAGTGATTAGTTATAATAGGTTACCACTTCCATTAATATAGTAACATAGACTTACTGCAGATAAAAACCATTCAGCCCATCTATTCTGCCCAGAAACAAAACAAATAGACACAGAAAAAAGCTCACACAATGTAAATTGAACAGTAAAATTAGATTCAAGCAGCGTGTTTCTGCCTCAACTGAATAGTTTTGGCAAAAGAAAAAAAATTGGAAAATGTCAGAGCCATGTACTAATTACTAATTGAAAAATACTAATTGAAATAAAATAAAAAATAATAACATTTTCATGTGTTAAAGGACCACTATAGTGCCAGGAAAACATACTCGTTTTCCTGGCACTATAGTGCCCTGAGGGTGCCCCTACCCTCAGGGACCCCCTCCTGCCGGGCTGGATGGTGAGGAAAGGGGTTAAACTCACCTTTATTCCAGCGCCGGGCGGGGAGCTCTCCTCCTCCTCTCCTCCTCCGGTCCTCCTCTTCGCATGCCAATAATAGACTATTTGGAAAAATAATGAGCTGTTGAATTTTGGAATTGTAGAATCCTTACAGCTAGATATGATAACGATAAAAGATTAGACGATGAAGAAGATGGAAGAGTCGGAAGGTGATCTTGGTGGAATCGGAGAGTAACACCTTGCAACAGCTCACAACAAATTAAAAAACTGAGTGAGACGTAAAAAAATTAAATACATACAAGAATGAGCTTTAATTATAAAACCAAAACACTACACATCAGTATGTTAGTCCGGTATTATAGTGACAGTAATAGTTGGAAAAATACTCAAGTCCTTTGAGATCAAACGTGAAGCCCATTCTTTTATGAAGCTTATAAGGTCCTTTTTTAAAGGAACACTATAGTCACCAAAACAATTATCTTAATGAAGCAGTTTTGGATTGTAGATCGTGCACCGGCAGTTTCACTGCTCAATTCTCTGCCATTTAGGATATAAAACACTTTGTTTGTATAGCCCTAGTCACACCTCACTTGCACAGACATCCTAAACACATCATGAAAATTAACCTAGAAATTTTAGGTTCCTGTGTTGCACCATCTGTTTAATCTAGAATTTCTTATCTTGTGCTCTGTTAATAGCCTTGTAGAGCCCGCTGAAACCTCCTGCATGTGTTTAAGGCTCAATTTGACGAGCAGGAGATAAAAACTTGTAAAGTAAGTAAACATCTGATTGAAAATGAAGCCATTTTGTTTTCATGCAGGCTGTGTCAGTCACAACCAGGGGAGGTGTGACTTGGGCTGCATAAACAAACACAGAAGTGATTTAACTGTGCTGGTAACAATACACATCCTTCAAATCTGACTAATTCATTGAAGGGATTAGCTCTGTGAAAAGATTAAGAATTAGGAATTTTACTCAAAATTAACTATTTACATACAGAACTCTAGGGATAAAAAACAGACAAGAGATTGAACATTTAGACAAAATATTGTGATAGAAACATACTTATCAGTTTATTTAAAGCAGTCATTGACCTTTTACACCCAATTAAAGAACAGTTAATTAAATATAACTCTTTATTTCAAATAGCAATCTGTGGCATTGACTTCCTCCGAGATGTCCCTCGAATCGTATGCTGCATGCGATATCCCACGTGTGCCCGCCACTAATTCACATTATGGTAAAAGCAGGAACAAAAACTAAAATCGAAATAGTGCAGTCTGTCTTGAAAATCAGGAAGAAATGTACATTCATTAAAGAGGCGTACGTGTAATGTGAGTTTTTGTGACAACATATAAAAAATGTATTTAAATTAAAATAGGTGTTTTTCTACCGGCATGAGAATAAAGCTGCCGAATTCTCTGTTTTTTTTCTTTTAGGAACAAAGTTTCACCGATAATTAAAGTGGAAGAGAGAGATATCCATTCGCTTTAATTTCATGTTCTGCTTCTCAGGTTAATAAATAGATAAAAAGATTAATCCTGCAACTATTCAGCAGCTTTGGAAACAGCTGTCATGGCTACTGAAAGGCCAAAATGTGACATTTGTAAGAATTCCTTCCAGTGAAGATCAGATTTAACTCTGCGTAATATTTAGAAACTGAATCTAATATAGGCCTCTATTAAAAACTTTCCAAATGATTCAATACTGTTAGAAAAAGGTTCGAAATGATTTATCGATACAAATTCCCATGGACTCCAATGGTGACTTACTAATGGCTGGCCTGGATTGGCTGAGGGCTTTGGCACATCTTCCAACATTTCAAATAGGCAAAGAGGAACACTTCATGTTTAGAGGTGTGAATGGCTTTGTGGCCAGGAGTAGGCTGTTCTGAGTGTGAGTGTCGATGGGGTGATTTGTTCTGAGTGTGAGTGGAGGTGTAGCCAGGGGCGGGGCTGTTCTGTGAAATTTTAGGTGACTTACTAATAACAGTTAACACAAGTAAAGTGTGATTTAGAAGAAGAACAATGTATCTTATTTACACAGACTGATTTCTAAACACATTTATTGTAGTCTAAAGACACATTATTGGGAGTATTATTGCTGTGGAGCTCTGTTATACACTCAAGACACATTACTGGGAGTATTATTGCTGTGGAGCTCTGTTATACACTCAGATACATAACTGGGAGTATTATTGCTGTGGAGCTCTGTTATACACTCAGACACATTACTGGGAGTATTATTGCTGTGGAGCTCTGTTATACAGTCAGACACATTACTGGGAGTATTATTGCTGTGGAGCTCTGTTATACACTCAGACACATTACTGGGAGTATTATTGCTGTGGAGCTCTGTTATACACTTAGACACATTACTGGGAGTATTATTGCTGTGGAGCTCTGTTATACACTCAGACACATTACTGGGAGTATTATTGCTGTGGAGCTCTGTTATACACTCAGACTGGGAGTATTATTGCTGTGGAGCTCTGTTATACACTTAGGCACATTACTGGGAGTATTATTGCTGTGGAGCTCTGTTATACACTCAGCCACACCAACAATACGAAGCTCCTTGAAAAAAGGGACATTGGGATAGAAAAAAAGGGACAAGGGATTTTGACACAAAATAGGGACTGTTCCTCCTAAATACGGACACTTGGGAGGTATGCTTTTAAAGTGACAAGCCCATCCAACTGAGCAGCCTGGTTAATTAGCTGAATGAGACAGCAAGTGGATTGAAGCTCTGGCCTCGGGGGACTAGTGGCAGCCAGACTGCTCACAGTCAATCACAGATGGCAGATTTCAGTATTTTTCCAGAAACTCTGAGAATATCATCTGTTGCCGGGTGTGATGTTGGATGGACTCCAGTTTTTTGGGGCAATTATCTCCACTATATCTTCCCAGAGTCTGGTGAGTTCCTATCGAGAGGAGCTAGTATCAGGTCAATGTGCACCAGGTCAGATGCGATGCCTCCCCGCTTTGTCACTTTTCATACATATATTGACTTTCATCCCCCGGATCACAGTAACCGCAGAACAAAACGCTCTAACTCTAACTGCCAACGCAAATCCTAAACCACATAACACTAAGCCTATAAAAACAAGTGCACTTAATGTCCACTGGTCAGCATTTATTATTCACTTTCTGGCTGTGAATGATGGTAATGGTTCTGGCTCTGCCTGGCTGTGAATAATGGTAATGGTTCTCGCACTGCCTGGCTGTGAATGATGGTAATGGTTCTCATTCTGCCTGGCTGTGAATGATGGTAATGGTTCTGGCTGGCTGTGAATGATGGTAATGGTTCTCACTCTGCCTGGCTGTGAATGATGGTAATGGTTCTGGCTCTGCCTGGCTGTGAATGATGGTAATGGTTCTCGCACTGCCTGGCTGTGAATGATGGTAATGGTTCTCACTCTGCCTGGCTGTGAATGATGGTAATTGTTCTGGCTCTGCCTGGCTGTGAATGATGGTAATGGTTCTCGCTCTGCCTGGCTGTGAATGATGGTAATGGTTCTGGCTCTGCCTTGCTGTGAATGATGGTAATGGTTCTCGCTCTGCCTGGCTGTGAATGATGGTAATTGTTCTGGCTCTGGCTGGCTGTGAATGATGGTAATTGTTCTGGCTCTGGCTGGCTGAGAATTAGGCCATTTGCTTTGTCTCTCTCTGCCTGGCTGAGAATGATGATTGTTTTCTGCCTCTCCCTGTGACTGAGAATGATGGTAATTGAAGTCCACATTATCAGGTATATAAGATCCAGTACTTCCTCCCAGAATACGTCCAGTGTAATTGGTAAAAATAGGCTGTGCTCAAACAGCATTGTGCCCAGGTAATGCCGCTTCCCTTCAAATCAACATTTAGATTTCATGTTTTAGATGTCAAATATCTCACTAAGATCTTTTATAGCATCTTTCTTCCGTGTCACCAACCAGCTCAATATCATTACATGGGGTGACCTTTAAATGGGGCAGCATTTCAATGCACATTCCGTCTGTAAAAGGTTTAAAACAAGTATTTTAGCATCTGAACATATAAGTGTTTTTACACTAATTACATAGAATCTACAAACTGCTAAATACCTGTATGTGCTTTGCATGTGCGGTGTCTTATTGTATCGGCTAAGTTTAGAGCTCCAGACCAAATTAACATCAACATGTGATATTATCACCAACCACACCTTCAACGCCGTCTGATGGGGCAGCTTGCTTTTTCCTGTTTAATCTTATTTAAATAGAGCTGAATGTCACTCCCCCACTATCCGAATTGACTGTCACTTTAACTTTTTGCCTCTTTAAAGGCGAGATATAATCATCATAAAGTCCAGTGTGCCCAACTATGGGAGTGCTGCCGGTTACATACATGGATGCCTTTGCTCCAGGAATAAGAAGAGTTAAACTCTCATTTATTAATGTGAAACCAAGAGAAATGTGTGATATTTTCTTTGAAAGGAGAGGCGTCAATTTATAAGCCATGCTACCCTTTCAGATGCGATGCCTCCCCGCTTTGTCACTTTTCATACAAATTAGTTCCCCGATGCTCTGGCATTTAATGATTCATTTTAGTTAAAGTTCTAGGTTTTTTTTTTTCTTCAAAAGGCTTATTAGCAATTATTTTGGAAAATCTGTCTGAGATTCGCTAACATCTGCATTCTAATTAGAGAGCCATTTAAACAGCTGTCAGCAAGCTAGCGGCTAACATATTCTATTAGATTAGGGACGGGACAAAATGTTATCCTTCAAAAATCTGCTTAAAAAATGCCCCTTTACTACAGGTCTCACACAAAGAAATCTAATAATTTATATATATCTATTAAAAAGGGATACAATTATTGGTGCTCACTATATACTATGCAAATTATTTATATATATATATATATATATATATATATAGTCTCTCTCTCTCTTATTCTCTAAAGTTAGAATTCAAAGTGAATTTCAAAATTTTGACCCAACATTTGCATTCTTTATTTCAAATCCCGGAAATCTCACCTTAGTTAATAACACTTTGCGTAGCCTTTTTAATTGAAATGGGGGTCGACCACATCACAATTAACTTGCTGGGATTGTGTACGGAAACATCTACACAGAATATGGTCTGTGTCTGCCTAAGTCCAAATGGGAGATGCCACAAAAGGATAGTTGACAGGGCTGAGAGCCTGTGGGATAATTTCATAGGGAATATTATTACCTTCGTCATGTTTTGAATTTAGAGTAAAAACTGTCCACCAGCTCTAAAAGAGTCAATACGGTGTTTATGGTGCTGGGTGTGCCGTGAAACCATTTTGATGAATTGTGTAAAACTGTTCAGCACGGTTGGAAACTTAGCTGGGTCCCACCAGGGAGCGTGCTGCATTCAGTCTTCTCAGAGCTGGAGAAGCCATTTTGTTGACTACTCAGCCACTCACTGAGCTTATTCATTGTCCAAGATAGTGCAGCTAACACTAGACACACACAGTACCCAGACACACACAGCCCCCCCCAGACACACACAGCACCCAGACACACACAGCACCCAGACACACACAGCACCCACACACACACAGCACCCACACACACACAGCCCCCAGACACACACAGCACCCACACACACACAGCACCCAGACACACACACAGCCCCCCAGACACACAAAGCATCCAGACACACACACAGCCCCCAGACACACAAAGCATCCAGACACACACAGCACCCAGACACACACAGCACCCAGACACACACAGTACCCTCAGACATACACACAGCATCCCACACACACACAGCCCCCAGACAAACACAGCCCCCCCGACACACACAGCACCCACACACACACAGCCCCCCCAGACACACACAGCACCCAGACACACACAGCACCCAGACACACACAGCACCCTCAGACAGACAGCACCCTCACTCCCACACATATGCAGCACATATATTATATAAAAAAAAACTTCAGTGAGTTAACAGACAAATAAAATTAGAAACCCAGAATGTGACGGCAGATAAAAACACCCTCACACACAGCACTCCTCTTACACAAACACGCTGCGCACCTCACACATACAATACGTCCAAATATAATTTTTATATATATATATATATATATATATATATATATACAAAAATCAAAACTGAGGATGCACTCACAGGACTTGGTTAAAGTGAAAAAAAGGGACTTTTAATTATTCCATGTGAAATGTACAGAAAAATCAATTTTCCATTCACATGGAATAATTAAAAGTCCCTTTTTTTCACTTTAACCAAGTCCTGTGAGTGCATCCTCAGTTTTGATTTTTGTATATTTCTGACGTTTGGGATATAGCACCCAGGCTATTAGTTCTTTCTTATTACTTAAAGGAGAGTGCCAAGCATCCTGTTTTTTTGAGATTATATATATATATATATATATATATATATATACACACACACACACACACTACAGCACCCCTCACACTGCACCACTACACACATTACGCTCCAGATACACGCTAGATCCCTTACCCTATATGCACTCTTAATCCTCTACACACACACACACACACAATCTTCTATACACACTCTCGGTCCCTCACACACTAGATCTCTTACACACACATTGCACCACCTACACACACCATACATTCCTTGTAAGCAAACACATACAACATTATCTAAACACACCCTCTCTACACACAGTAGTGTGTGTGTATAAGTGACACACACTACGTCACCTATACACACACACTACTGCCCGTATGCACATACTCGCTACATCCCCTATAACACTATGCCCCTATACACGCACTCTCTACAGCCCCTAGCCACACATATTACACCACAAAATTGACCTATTTACACAATACCACACCACACTCTACACACAGGCAATCCCACAAGCATGCGCCAAACACATGCACCATACACTTTCCTGGCCCTTTTGTCCTCTGGTATCCCACTTGTGGAGACACCAGAGACAATTTAAAAGCAAACACAGCGCAAGCATGTTATTACATTTGCTTGCGCTGCGCAGAACAAATACAGGGCCTTTTTCTAATGCTAGAGCTCTTCAGCGGGGCTCTGCGCATTGAACCAACATGCTCACTTTCTCTGGCCCCACCCCCTTTTGGGGGGGCTGCTCTAATTGAAAAATGCCCGGGCCTAATTTTTTTCCCAGTCCGGCCCTGTTCCCTCCTCTCCCCCTAACCCCCCCCCCACACACACAATTTAGGTCTCTCAATAATCCTCACACACTGCACTCCACACACACACACAGACACACTGCACCCCTAACAAACACACTCTGGATCCCCTATGCACACACTAAATCACCTATACACACTTACACTACAGCTCCTATACACACACTATCCCACTTTCTCAGCTCCTGCGCATGGGCTGCCCTGGAAGAGCATTGAAACAACATGCTCACTTTGACGGGGGGTTAGCTTGTCATTGGTGATGACAGAACACCTCTCTCTCTGGCCCTGCCCTCTCCTCACTGGGTTGCTTTGATTAAAAACTGCCTATGCCAAATTTTTCTCCCTGTCTGGGCCTTGGCTGTTATGTAAAACTCACGGAGGATCATAGGAAATCATTGCATTCATACATCAGGTCCCTGATACTCCTCTATGCAGAGCATTGAGACCTATTGAGCAGCAATTGGTCAACTAACAGTAGAGTTTTATATTTCACTAAATGTAAAACACTTTAAGAAAAAATGTCCTGACTGCTGACCAGATAACTTAACCCGTTACCCCCAATAACGACATGAGTGTTGGATAAGGCAACGGCCACAGCTTTATTTAAACTTTTTAACACAGCCAGCATTTTCCACCTGCCAGCTGTTGGGGTGACTACCCAACCGACAGATACTCCGAGTCTTTCCAGAGTTCGTACAGCCTGCCTTCTGCCATCAGCCCTAGCAGATACAAATCCTTGTATCGTGCATTACATGCGCTGGCCAGGAACTCCGCCATAGCTGTGACAAAACAAGAACAGAAACAAACAACACCACAAAGCCAACAACCATCACATAAACATAGGGAATGGGTGGGAGGGAAACTGTTCCAGACTGCTCCTTCTGCACTGGTGAGTACCCTCCACTCTGCACCCCTTCTTATACCACCCATCTTTAGCAACTATGTATCAATAGACATCCCACCCCTTACTGCAGGGCAGCAGTCTTGCCTCCCCTTCCTTGCAGTCCAGGGGATCTCTTTCTCTCCTTGGACTCCACCACATAAGCAGATATGCCGCCTTGGTGGCACACATCAAGTGACAGAAATTCTTAATAGAAAAATGTGGAGGATTCACATAAAAGGTTGTGAAAGACACTATTGAGATTGCCTGAATTTCTCAGAAATATTGTGTTCTTGGTGGGCACAGAGCCGCCATTCCCCAGAGAACCAGGCACAGCGCCAATGCTGCAAACTGACTAGGTGCCAATACTTCTTTCACGTATCTCCTGCCTCGTCCACTGTCTGAGGTCCTGGGAAACACGTTATGTTACTTAACACAAACTCACTCTGCCTCCCCAAAATCTCTTTGGGGTCCGGCCAGATAAGAAAAATAATTATTTAAACACATGCCAACTCACCTTGCCAATTTCTGGCCTAACAACCATTTTGTGAGATTTACTCACTGCT